AACTATAACTAATTACTTTTTCAAAGTAACGTGCCCAACACTGGAAATGGTCCACAGTTGTGATTATGACTGACCCTAGGAGATCGACAGACCTGTAACAAAATACATGAGAGACGGGATAGGACGGGATAGATAGGACCATGGGCTGAGAGGCCCATGGTCCTATCTATCCATGGACTGGACCATGGCCGAGAGGGCATGAGTAGAGGGCAAAGCAGACCGGATGGGGGTTGCTGGTAATCCTTGGTCAGGTTGTATTGAAGCCAGGCTGTTACAAACTCCATGACATCTGTAGGTAGGCCACCAAAACTGGGATGATTCTAACAGACTTAGTAATACCAGGATGGCGGTAAAGACTGGAGCATTGGCAAAAGTTCAGGACTTCAGTAATAATGAAGTCAGGGATATATAGCCTGTCCTTAGGGCAGGCCTCCAGAATCCATGCTCCCCCCAGAGACCTCCTGACCTCCCTCACCAGGTCGAGCCTCTTGATATCACACCTAATGATGTCAGGTAGAATATACTCCTGTGTCTCCTTGGAACCCTTTCTTCCTGGTCTCGAACATCCTGGACAGGGTGTCCAGTTTTCCAATCTTGGACCCAGGCCTGTAAGGTAGGGAGAAGTTAAATCACCCAATAAACAGGACCCACTTGGCCTGCTTGGGGTTGAGCCTCCTTACTGTCCTGAGGTACAGATTCCTGTAGTCTGTCCACAACCAGTGTCTCCACTCCTCCAAGGCCAGCTTGACCACCAGGTGTTCCCGGTTACCCACATCGTAATTGCGCTTAGAGCTTCCGGGAAAAAAGGCACAGTGGTGAATACGACCATCACTGGCCCTCTGTTTGAGGATGTTACCGACTCCAGAACCAGAAGCATCCGCTACCAGAGCTGACGTAAACAGGGATTCCATTACAGTTGATAGGGTTAGGCCTCTTTTAGTGCCTAGTCTTGTTTTTCGCCTAGACAATGCTATGGGCTCCCTTTCATTCCTTAGGTAAAAAGCATTCAAAGTTCATCTGCTTAACTGTGTCTCTCCTAGATCTAGCCTCCTGGAGCTAGTTAGTGTTACCTTCTAAAAGTATATATGGCTTAGTACGTCTATATTCCTTTTTGTTGTCTGCTCCCCCATTTGGTCTTAGAGGAAGGCTGCTTACTCTGAGCCTGCTGAACGTTTCTTCTTTTCATAGGGGAGTTTTTCCTTTCCACCGGTGCTAAATATGCCTTTGTATAAGGGGTTTTGCAAAGTCAAGAACCTAATGCAAGAAACTGTCATCTGAAGTTATATGCTTATCTAGGGGGAGTAAATCCTTTAAAGTCAGTGATCTTTATATTCTGGTGGGTTTCGATGTGGTAGACATTTCAACCAATTTGTCTGTCAACCGATCTGATTACATAACTGAAAAGTTTCTTAGGATGTATTGTGAACTAGTGCCGTATGTGTTTAATACTTTAATAATAGGATGCTATTTTTGTAATAAATGTCTCTGTTTCATGCAGTTGTACACGTGTAAGGCATAATCTGCTGTTAACAGAAATATTAATAAGAAAACAACAACTTACATTTAGAAAATTTTTATTTGGTTATTATCGCAATGCAATATGATTGGGACTAAACAGGCATGTAAATGTTACAGTGAATCTTACAAAATATTTTTAAGCAAAGTCAAAGCAGAACGTATCAAGGTAGAAGCAGACAGAAAAGATCAGGTAGCTGAAAGGGTAAAAAAAGAATAAAAGAGTAACACAGACCTCTGAATGGCATTAGGTTGGGCAAAAGCGACCAGCAGATGAATGAGGCAGGACATCACACAGATAAGGTGCAAAAAGAAAGAGCACAAGTCTCAGATAATGAAAGGGAAATAGTCTGTCTAAGGTATAATGAAGTATTTGAAATATAAGTTAAGAACATATTGCCAGTTAATCATTTTAATACTAAAAACATAATAATGTCACTCTCCAACTTTAAATGAAAGGTGAGATCGATAAATTTTTTTTGTGAATGTGAATAAAGATGATGCAGCTATTGGTATTACTTGAATTTTATTTTGCCTATCTTGCTTCAGCCATACAACTGGATTAAAACAAACACAAAACAGCATGAGGCAGAGCAAGGAAACTTGCAAAATGTAGTAGGACAAAGTATGCATAGAATGTGTCCACTGCATGCAGCCTATGGACAACATAGGACAGAGGTCACGGATTAGAGGACCAGGGTCTGGATCCGGACCCAACCTGATTTAAAACGTTTATAAATTACAACATGTTGTCCGTTGACAGCCTCTAACCTTGTGCCGCTTGTCCTGTGAAAAGGAGTTTTTCCTCTCCACTGTCACTACAAGCATGCTTAGTGTGAGGGATTGCATTCGAGTCAATGAGTCAATGCATGTTGTTTTCCTTAGATAAAAAACTTTGAATCAATGTTACTGTATGACCTGGTGAATTGTAAAGTGCCTTGAGATGACATGTGTTTTGAATTGGCGCTATATAAATAAACTGGATTGAATTTAATTGACCATGGTAAAGCCCTCCGGATGTGTCCGGCACCAGGCTACATGTGATATAAACTAGCCAATGAGCTGTGTCAGTTAGGGTTGCTGCTGCTAGCAAGTTTTAGACACAGCAGGCAAACCTGTGGCAAGCCAGGCGATGGGAAAGAATGAGAAGAGAAAAAGAGAGCAGAGAAAGTGTGGACTGCTGGAAGAAGCATGGTGAACTACTGAATGAAAAGTGTGAATGGTGTGCTCAAACCTGACCCTGCACATTTTTTGTAAGTTTAGTTCAACCTACTGCTGTGAAGCAGGATTCTTCACCATGAACATAATAAAAAATAAATATTGATCCAGGCTCAAAAATTAACCTTGATATGTGCTTTAAATGGCTTTGTTTCCATTCAAACCCAGATTTAAAGCCTTGCAGGGCAGCCTAAAGCCCACTGCTCTCATTGAAGTTGTAGGGAAATCATATTTAAATGTCAAATCATTCTGGCTTAAACTTGTATATAAATGTACTCTTTATCAGACAATATTGTCGCAGAATTTATAAAATTTCTGTTTAAAAAAAAAGGTGTCTTATCTGTCTTAATCTGTGTTTTTGTTTCATTATCTTATGCAGGCCAGTTAGTTATATGTCTTTAACCCCGCTTTCCTCCTTTAAATAAAAAATGTATGACAAAGGAGACTCAGCAACGACCTCCGACACAAAACTCTCCTCCTCTTGCATGTTTCCGTTGTCCATAGCTTTCCTTGACAGTGTTGTTTCTAAGGCACAATGTAATTTCCCATTGGGAAACTACTAGCACTAAGTTGCTAACCGGTTAGCAAGATGCTTCCGAGACACCGGCCACAACCAAAGTTGCTTGCGAACCTTCCGCCTCAACAATCTCGCCGTCTTGATAAACGACTAATTATGTTCACTTTATTCACTCATGTAAAGTAGTGCACTACTCGGGAGAATTCGGAAATGGAACGGTTGGAACAGCCCTTTCCCTACGACTTTAAGCCATAAAAAAAAAAAAAAAAAAAAAAAAAAACTGTCAGTTCAAGTTTTTTATAAAAAAAGTGAGTCACGAAATTGTCTATATACCAAACTAAAAGATTGTTGTTTCTCTACTTCAAAAACAATTTAGAGTTTAAAATGAAAAAACTTTCTAGTTTTTATATTTTTTATTTAAAAATTCAAAGTATATCATGGATGCATAAATACCTGCATTTTATTTCAGTGTTGAATGCTGTTTAAAGTAACAGATTATAATTAAAATGTCTCTGGACCCATACTGGTTGTTGATTTTCTGCATTCCGACCCCACTGATTTTTAATTGGTTATCCCTGACATAGAGCATATATACATATTACAATATTGTACATTTATTGCATTTATTAAAATGACACACATACATTTACGATTCAGACAATGTTAATGTAATAGTGAAATTTTATAATGTTTTATCTCTGATTGAGGATTCAAAATTTGAAAGTTGATTTATGTATATTATAAAGGCATTATAAAGGTGAGCTACATTAAAATAAAACATTGAATTGATAAGCATTAAACTGATTATACTACAGAATATAAAAAGCAGTTTTTAAACAAATATGTTAGCAAATGCATCTCTAGTTTTGCCTTTCAAGTTCCATTTAGTTCTGGTCATATTAATATAACTCAAGATGTAGTTTCTCCTCTTCCTTTTTCTATTTGTAGAAAAAATCTGTAAACAATTTTCATTTGGACTGACTAAAGAATTTTTTTAGATGTACCAAAATTGCTTTCATTTTTAATCCATATATAAGCGGATTACAGAGTGGATGATATGTAATTATTTGAAGACTCATTAAAAGTTTTGCAGTCCTCGGTATATCTGATTCCAACTTGACTATAAAAACATCATATGTAAACAGAATGGAGTAGTTAAATAAAACCAGCAGGTGAGGCAAACAGGTCTGTGCAGCTCTTTTTCTGACTTCTCTGCAACTCTTATAGGCTATTATTACTATCTTTGTATATGTAAAGACTATGAAAAGCATTGGAAAAATACCAGTATTAAATAAAACAACTACACCATAAACGGAAAGTGCTACTGAACTCACACAATAAAGACCATGAGCTGCATTATTACAATAAATCCCATTTAAGGTGTTTGTACATAGTCTTCTATGGGAACTGAGTATAACGGAGACTGAAACATGATAGGCAGGTATAAGCCAAGCTGAAACAAGCAAAGCACTAACAGCTTTTCTTGTCATTATGGATGGATATTGCAGAGGTTTACATATAGAGACATATCTGTCATAGGCCATTGCTGCCAGCAGTAAGAATTCTGAACAACTTAAAGAATAAAATGCAAAGATTTGAAAAAGACAAGCTTGATAGAATATGATCTGCCTTTTGGATAAAAAGTCTATGAAGAGCTTAGGGTAAATGTTAGTACTGTAAAAAATAGAATTGATTAACAAAGCAGCAATGAAAACATACATAGGCTCATGGAGGTTTTTGTGAACAATAATAAGGCAAACAATACAAGTGTTCCAAAAGATTATGAGAAGATATGCAGTAACCATGATGACAAAATAGAGGTATCTGTACTTCTGTAGTTCTGCATAGCCTCCAAGAATAATGTATGTCACATTAAACCTTGGTTCCATTCTCTATGTTATACACCGGCAATTGAAAGGAGTTTAACAAATAATAAACAAGCAGCTACTGAGAGTTAATGAGCATAAGGCTTGAAGCAGTGTGACTGTGATGCCAGCAGGAGAGTAACAGTTCTTATCAATGTTTTCCTCCTCCTCATCATCATTCCAGTTGCTTCTCCCTGGTTGTGCTGTAAACCACCCCAGGGCATGGCATAGGTCTTTGCAGGATAATAACATCAAAAACTGTTGTCTAAGAAACTGTTTTTTGTGGGCAATCAAGGTGGAGAACCTATAGGAGCTCCAGAAAAAGGGTACAGGGAAAACAAAAGAACAAACCAGCAACAACAACACATTCATGAAGTTAGTCAGCTTCTCAGAATTATGCAGCAGCTGTAGATAAGTTTATGGAGTCTTATGTATGAGTAACAGACTGTGCGTGTGTAATAGAATGAGAACCTGCTGCCCTGGTTTACAAATTGTACCCGGTTATGGTGCAGAGGGGCCACAAGCCGAAGCACCCCTCTCCAGTGCTCTGAAGAGAGCAGAGAGCGCCCCTAGACCCAGTCTCCCAGCAGCTACCTGAGCCCAAATCCCAGGGATACCACCATAGAGACAAACGGGCACCAACCAAGAAGGCAACCAGGGAAATCTTGCAGAAGACCCCCCCACTACCGTAGGGTGAAGGCCCGCAAGTAACCATGAGCGACAGCACACCTTCCCCCAGACACAGGCCGAGAGCCCAAGCTCCATGAGCCAGAGCACCATCGACCCCACCCGAGCAGGAGCCCCCCCTCAGCGCCTGGAGGGGCCAGTTATTCCAGAAAACTCAGACTTTAAGCTCTTTATTGTTCCAAGTGAGTTATTAATTTCTGTTTGCTGCTACTTCTTCATCAACTCCCATGCTGCTGCTCGGTTCCTTTCAAACGTTTTGCTAACCTTCACGTCTTATTAGTCTGCAGCCTGTCAACTTGGATTGCATCGATATTTTTGACTCATCTTTGCTTAGTCTTCCAGGGCCTGGCACAGTTTCACCCAAATCAAACTCAGTTACTGTTATAATACCATTCAGTAATAGTCATTTTTAAAAGAGAATTTTTAGGATTCTTGTCAGGAGCAGTGTCGAACATTAAAAAAACCATCAGAACTATTTGTTTCATTCAGGGAAGGAAGGAATCTCTTCCTTCCCTTAGGAAGTGACAACAGCTTAGTGACCACGTCTTTCTGAAAGTGGATGAAAACGAACATATGAGTCACTAATCTGGTCTTATAGTTCAGTCCAAAGCCCAGAGGGTGAGGTTTGTTCCAGTTGAGTATCTACGCGTCGTAGTAGTTGCCGTACAATGAGTCCCAAACCCTGATGTATCAGTGGTCGAAGTATAGGCAGGAGGTCAGAACCGAGTAGACAAACTGTCGTGGCCTTCTGTTCCAAAAAAGATCAACATTTCCAACAAAGAGGTGGTTTTGGCTTTGTATGCCTAAGACTTGAGTTATTAATTGTAAAATCAAAGACAAAATAATTATTGAAAATGTCTTGCAAAACAGTCAAAACGAGAAATTATCCATCCATCCATTTTTAGACACGTTCAATCCCAAGTGGGGTCACGTGGGGTGCTGGAGCTCGTAATCTCTAGCTGTCTAAGGGCGAGAAGCGGGGTACACCCTGGACAGGTAGCCAGTCCATTGCAGACAAAAAAGAAAAAATAATGCCAATTGAATGTTTAAAGCTCTAAAAAAGTGATAAAAAAATCATTTAACAAAACCTCCCGCTCACACCAGACATTTACCAAACAATCCACCCAGCAGCCGGTGTCTTCTTAAATACTCAAATTACTGGGAGGGTCTAACAATTAGCAACGAAATCTAAACAATTGCAAATATAAAAAATGTATCACAAATTTTGGTTCTAAAGTAATTTAAATATATTCTAACTACCCAAAGAAGAAAACTAAATTGATAGAAATTACAAATTAAAACATTTTAGCATGGCCACAACACAAAGGTGGGCAGGATAATCCAGAGGGCAAAGCTGTTGTTGTACAGTGAGGAGAATCCAGAATGCAGTTGGGTAACAGTTCCAGGAATGGTACACGGACAGGCAGAGATCCAGCAGGAGTCAGAAGAAAAGCAAAGCAAATAGATCAGAAAGGGACAGGCAGACTTACAGGCTGACAGGTCATGAGCAGGTAATCAGAAAACAGGTATGCTAGAATACTTTTATCAATCGCTCCAAAATAATCTGGCACTGATGACTGGTCTAAAGGCGGGTTAAATAGGGACTAGTACAGTTGGATCAGATAAGCAGCTAATGAGAACTAGGTGGAGCTAAGCAAGTGTGTGAAATGAGTAATCAGACCAGACACCACTGCCAAGATCATGACACTTCTGCTTGGGTAATACATTTTAATACTTTTGAAACCTCTGAGGAGGAAAAATAAAGGACCAGTTGCAAAGGTTATTGAGCAGTTGTCAGAAGTGAAAGCAGAGGCGAAATGACTCATTGATGCTTTTACCGGTTCTGGGAAGTGGACAGTTACCTCGATGGGGGAAAAAAGGAAACTGAGCTCGTGTTGGAGGTTTAGTGATACCAGATAGAATTTTCAGCTCACCTTTAAGCTTAGCCTGGATTCCACAACTCAGCTACTTAAGAGATGCTGGACTCTTTTATTCTGAATAGACCAAGAGGGAGAGGCAGAGGGCTGGAGTGGAGTCTGCTTGTCTCCTCCCAGCTCAGCCATCTCAGTGGATGAAAGGGTCACTTCCCTGTACCTTAGAGTAAGGCAAAAGATTACACCTGTTTGAGTGCGGCAACAGCTGTGTCTTGTTGGCTGACCAGCTGGTATTCTAAGCAAGGTTAGTGACTCACATGCTCAGATCACCCTCTGTCAGGTTTTCGTGGTCTCCAACCTTAGTTTGCTCTCTCCAGAGTTATCTGCCTCAGATGCATTAGCCACTGCAACTCTGATCTGTTGTTGCTTTAATAAACGCTTTTTAAGTTATCCCACTGTCTGTCTTGCCTGATTACTTTGTCCCTCTGTTCAGAGTCAAGGGGTGCTGAATATTGACCATCTTAGGGATTCCATCAGTCAACTCTGGGACTTAAACACCTCTATGGGAAATGAAAATGACATGTACAGGGGGGAAATTGAGAGGAATCGACCTCTAGCTCTGAACCTTAGTATTGTTTCCATATTGGACTTTTGTGCAAGCCATGGATTTGCCCGAAATTCAACACGATAATCAAGCATAATGGTGGGTCCGTCAGTGCAACTGGCACCAGAGCACATTAGGCTAGAGGTAAATGATTCTTCTGATCTTCGGCTATATGGACACCTGGATGAAGAGAGGGGCAAAGCTGTTCACTGATCACTGCCCTGTGGTAAGTTGAATGTCCAGGAAGAGGAGTCAGCTGATCTGGCAGACCTAATATAATAATAAGTGTCATTCAGGGGCATGTTAAATTCCCGACCTCTGGGTAAGCTTCTTTCAGATTGTGGGGGAGGCTGGGGACATGGAATCAGACTGGACAATGCTCTTGGCATCTATTGTTAATGTTGCTGTCCATAGCAGTGGCACTTCTTCAATTCCTGTCGAATTGGGACCACAAAGTCACAGTAGTAGACACCAGCAGCATGACATGCTGTCAAGCTGATAAAGGAGTAATTTTTAGCCTGAATGGTTTGTGGCAGCAGGAACTGTGAGGCCAACTGTGCCTATGCCTGGGCAGTTTCAGAGACCAAAACTTGGGGAGGTTGGACAAGTTTTCATTTTTGACCAAGACTATCACAAGACTGTCCTCAAAGGAATCATAGAAAACTGTTCCCTAAAACCCAACATGAAAAGTTGATGTGGCCTTAAAATATATATTTATGGTTAAGAAGACTTTTCCCTTAAGGTACTGCAATAATAAAAGGATCACTTTAACTGAGCACTGATAGGGGATGGTGAGAGAATCTGTACACCAGCTTTCAAACTGCCTCCATTTCAACTTCTATAGGGACCTGGTTGACAGTGCCCCAGCACATTTGATAGTGTCAATAAAACCAGTAGGGAGCTCATCTGCATTTAGTTTTGACCACAAAGGGACCAAGCCCAAAGGGCCAGCATTTCTAAAGGGGTAAAAAATTTCCCTGTGAGCCAGGGATAGCAGATCCCCTTGAAGTGGTAGTTGCCACGTCAGGTAGCATATGAGTTCAAAAATCTCTGCTAACCAGTACTTCCTTGGCCACAAGGGTACTATCAGGATCATGCAAAGCCACTCCTCCCTCACCCCGGCATAAGTAGGAGGGATTAGAGCCACTGGAGGGAATGCATAATGGAGAGACCCTGGCCACCTGTGTGCCAGGGCATCCACCCCAGAGGAGTTTCCTTGTCCTGCAGGGAGAAGTAAGAAGGACGCTTTTCTCTTTCGATGCATCTATGACAGCCTGACCAAACTTAATTCAGATTAGGCTTACCACCCCGGGGTTAAACTTCTAATCTGCATAAAGGGGATTTCCCCTGGATGAAAGATCTGCCCCATAATTCAGGGCTCCTGCTATGTTGCTCTTAGAGATTGCAGGTTCAGACTGCTCCAGACAACTAGTTTATGTGACAAGATGTGCACGCAGGGGGACCTCAGTCCCCCTTTCCTGTTGATTTAGGCCACCACTGAAAAATTGTCTGTACTCACCAGAACATTGCTCCCTCTGAGCCAAGGTAGAAAATGAAATAGTGAGTAGCACCTCAGCCTATCAGAGAGGCATCTGCGGGGACCACTTTTCATGGAGACATGGTGCCCATAGTAAAAGCATTGGTCAGGAGGCCTGAACTCTTCCGCTGTCCAAGAGCTAATCAATGTCTCACTTCACATGGTGGAGGAAGGCAACCGTTTAGCAGAAGCGGGAGATGGTACAAGCGGAAGTCCGTCACCAGGAGGAGGAGAAGCAAAAGGGCTAAGGCTGTGGAGCTGGCAACCCAGGGAACATGGACCAGATGAGACCTCTAAACAGAAGGGTCACATAGACTGAGCT